GTGCTAACATATTATGTTTTGTTTTGCTTTAATCAAAAAATAGAAAATGTTTGTAAAAAACCTTTTAACAGATAGTTTATAATATAATAAATATTATATACTTGTATCCTCATGTTTAAAGGCTGATTTCATTAAGTTTACATCGTATTTATTACATACAGCTGTTCTTTGTTTCATTATGAGCTATAATGGTTGTAAAAATTAGGCAAAATGTATCCTTACGTTTTTTACTTCTTGTCCATCAAAGATTCAGAAAGATATAAAGGCTAAACTGCAATACCTGAAATTAAAATGAAATCTTAATTTTATCATGAAATGTGTGATTCTTACATGTATAAATTAATCTACTTAATAAAAATCTCACATTACATCATCAGACCTCGTATAATAATTCATTTCATGAAATAAAAGCAGACGTTTTGATGCACAAATGCATAAGACAAAAGTAAAGCAATATTTAACTTACATTCAATTACTTGGATTGGAAGACATCACTACTATTTTTTCTATTTCAATCTGACTGCACACACCTGATGCAAATTATCACCTTTAATATAAAACAAATACATAAAATTATTCCTTTTCAGAATGATTTTATCCTATGTTTATACAAAAACTTATTGAAATAATAGCTGATTCTTTGCAGATGAGAACTTTATATTAACTGGTAACTTAACTAATACCATAATATTAAACATTGAAGTTAAAAATTTAGTATGCAGCAAATTTGACTTGTGAAATAAAGTTGCTATTTAGGTGTTTCATAAAAATGCGACTTGTCTAATATGAAGAAAATTTTCATTGAACAACGTGGAACTTAAGTTACTTGAAAATAAATAAAGTACTTGACTTGAATAACTTTAGATAACTAGACTTACATTTTCCAGTTTAATTAAGTTATCTCTTCTAAAGTTTTTCATTTTAATATTTATTCACATACAATGCAAATTTTCCACCTGAAATAAACAAAACATTTAATATAGTCAATATTTTACATTTTTGTAGATATTGCACGAGCTAATTTATGACCTATCTGCGCTTCCGTAGAAAAAAAATTGGAACAGACCCTATATTATCATTGCATTTCTTGAAATATTTTACGATATAAATAAAGCATCTACACACCATTATTCTTTATAAGCACTATAAGTATTATATTTTATCTAAGATGCCGATTTACTTCGCATTTAAGATACTATTGACTGAATGAATCTTCCGTTATATGCTTGATTTGATTCGGCGTAACAGACGAATATAAAGTCTTAAAAAAATAGTTACGTTAATATTTATACTGCAAACTATAATAGTTGTTAAAATAAATGATAAAATAACATAATTACCGTCAAAATAAATCCAATCCATGTAAAACACAAAATTCTTTAGGATTTTAAACAAAAGGCCGCCATGTTACTTGTTGTGTGACGTCACTAAAACCCGCGTGTAAACAAATATTTTTCGTATGGTGTACAGTAAAGAACACAACCAAAATTGCAATTTAATTTCAAAATAAATGTCGATTTAAAAGTTTTCTGCATAGAATTTTTTTTGGGACTTTTTATGATAAACATAACAATATCATTGCTTTCGCATGACACAAAAAGAATTTCTGTTGCAATTAGTTCTATCCCATACGCTTCTTTTATCGGAAAAATATCTTTTGTTCAACCTAAATTTGTAAGGTCAAAATCATTTTGTTAACAAGATGAATTTAGAAAGGGTAGTATCCCAATTATTCATGAAGGTGCGAGCATATCTCATTTGTTGTCTCAGACCAGACAGTTTGAATTTGACCACCGAAAATGTTGCATGTAACAAATATGAAGTTTTAGCCGTATTATGATTTATAAGACAGTTTTGGTTTATTATGATCGTTGACATTGTGTTTTCTACAGTGTTTTGTGTTCGATCCATACATGGACTTAGGAATCGATTAATACGGAGAGTAACGGTAGGTTGTCCATCCCAATTCGCAGAAAATAAAGAAGAAAAAATTGGTCAAAATAGCTTTATAGCATGTCTATGCGTGTTTATGTCCATGGAATTAATATTTTTTGAAGAGTCGCTTTTAAAGACAACTCGCTGAACTGTACAGGCGAACGTTGCTAAATCTACTAGTTTGTTAAATTAAGGAACGTTTCAATGTGTTTACTAATGTTACTCTCGTAGACATCATTTGCTTAAATTCACTTCAGATTTGATCATAAGAACATAAACGCAATGAGATTGTAAAGGGTTTGAAAAACATTCTTATACATGTACTTTACTTCGTCAGCTGTATGTTTGCAATCGATCAAGAGTGTGTTGTGTTGGTGAAATGTGCTTCATGATTTCTGTTGCAAAAAGTCTATAAGTCTATAGTTGCTCATATTTCTTCGTCGTTACTTATTGATAAGTATAGAAAATTAAAAATTATAAAAATGAGAACAAAGACCAACCAGGCAAGGCGACGTTCACAGACGCTGCCTCCGACACATTCGGCCACACCAGCAGGCCACCTAGAAGGAGAAGTTGATAATGTGACATAAATATGTGTTTCAACATTCTCATGACGCACAGGTTACTGAAATATTGTTGTAAATATGCAACAATTAAATGCAAGCTCAGTGTATAGTCAATGCTCCCTCGCTTGAGTTTGTTTGTTTGTTTTGTTTTATTAGGTTTTACTTGAAAGAATACAAAGTCCTCGAACCCACAGCGGTGAGGGGCAAGTGGTTTGAAGTCAACGACCTTAACCACTCGGCCACGGACGCCCCACTTGAGTTTGTACATATTAACTGTGCAAGAGAGATGTTAAATAATGAGCTAAAGTCGACGCATTCTAAATTATTTGTCTCAGATGGTTGTTTTCATTAGCCTGATTAAGTCCATCTGACTGACTTTAAACTCCAATCGTAGTTGATCATCAAATGAACTCGTTTTATTAACAAATATATTGGTATATTTTGCAAGCCCCTCAGTCTTGATGGAAATAAAAGTCATTAAATCATGATCGTTATCATCCATCTTATCATGGTCATTTTGTAATAAATAACATGTCATAATTGATCGCCAGTTTATGATTTGTCTCTGCTTCTTTTTTTAAGCTGTAATCAGTCATCATAATAAATATTTGTTGAAAACGTTTTATAGGCTTTAATGAGTTTGTCATTCTGTATTCATTCGTATTCAAAGTTTCAAAGTAAACATGTAAGGAGCTTTTTTAACAATTCTGGTCTATAACGGTTATTAAGAGAACCTGCGCCGAGCTTTACAACAATTCTTGAACGGTTATAGCAAGATAGATAACAGTCTTGGAATGAATTCTATTAACGTAAATTTAAAGATAATACGAGTAACATCATGCCTGCAAGGGTGTAAGTTTTGTGTTTATTTTCTCATTTTGCACCTACACAAATAATTGTATACATTACACAGTATACAGTACATACAAAATAGAACAAAACAGTTTCGTTTCCATCAAGACCGCCCGAAACGGCAAAATTGAAAATGTTGCGGAGAAACATCTGCAGATGTGTTAATACGCCGGTTATTATGGAACCTTCAATGTGACACGTTTGTGGCATTCCGTGAAAAGTGGCGTATAGCCGCCAAGTAAAAGAATGCGTGTACCCTAAATGAGAAAACAATGAGCGAAACTAAAACACAGTGAATTTGAAAGGGGTCAGAAGTTATTAAGCCCGCATATCACAGATAAGACGTCAAGAGACAAATTAAAAAAGCAGGCAACATACCCTTAGGGTAATTATGGAGTACCTGAAACACCCAACTAGAAAAACATCAAATAAAAGGAAATTAAAGTACATGTATCACAAACATTCACACGCAAGCTGAACGATTTCAAGGATCGAAAATATAACATCTTTGATTATATGTACAGGGCGACATTTTACGACCGCAATACGGCACAAATAACACTGATCTTTCTGGTTTCAAATGTGTGTTATATCACCGCTTTGGAAATTCGAATTGAGAAAGGAACTTTGTACCGCAATAACGGAGACGCTTTTAAGAGTGTCACACGACTGTCTAAAACAAGAGTTTTGCGCATAGGTCGAAAGTATATAATTTATCGATTAGCCTATTACCCCTTGTAGTAGGTCAGGGCGTCGTTTAAACAAATATGATACACGCGTTCCAAAAAGCAATAGTGTTCAATTATTAATTGTTTTAAGAGTTTTAGTCAGAATGATTAAGTCCAAGATTGTTAGGCGATGTTAGGTGTACTATGCTTTTATCTTCCTTTTTAGTTTTTGTCGTTTTCATATACATCCGATATATTACGTCATTCTACGACAAACTGGTGAAATGAAAACGTGACAGTTTACCAACACATTTCAATAAAACTTTGAAAGCATGAGAGATGTTTTACTTTCATAATCCAACGGCAAGAATCGAGACTCTATTTACGTAATGATATACTAGTATGTGGCGTTTTCCATGTAAGAATTTTATTTGAATGTATATTTTTTCAGTAAGATAACCCTAGAAGATTCAAGCAATGTTTTAATTCATAATGCCTTATTTTTGCTCAATATTCATGTTGTCAGGTATTTTCAGTACATAATGACATTGTCAACATTAATATGCAGTTGACCTACACGAACCATCTATAGATGTTGTTTAAGACTTGTGTTTCTCGCTTTTGGATGCTTCATAACGTCTGTATTTTCTGTATTTTATTACGTGTGCTTATGTTGGACAGTATACAGCTTGCACCTAACACAGCTACCCGTAAACGTTTAGTCCAGATGACCCATGTCGCAATATATACATCATGATAGATCATCATCATTAAGCACGACAGCATGATGGTCACAGTTCGTCGTATTGTCTTATTGTCACCATCGTACTGTCGTATTGTCATCATCTTACTTCATGTTTTGCGCTTTCCGTTCTCAGAGAAAAGGCACTGGTCCTAACGGAACACCGTATTAATGCGAGTAACCAATTGCGTTCAAGTTATAGAACAATTCACACATGTTAAAAAGTAAATGTGCAAAATGGCTGCTGATGACAAAGTTATCTGGTAAAGATTGCATCATTTCTCATACAAGTATTCACTCTTCCGTAAAACAGCTTCCTGTGCACATGATAAAATGATTATATTAGATTTATTGTGCTTCTTTGAGATAAATGTGTACAGTTATTTGCCTAAATGCAACTACAATTTCTGAAAAGTAAAGATATCCTATAAAATTACAGCAACCGTGATATAACCAAAAATAATGGAAAAAAGTAAAAAGGACAATTGCAGTTTAATGAGAGATATAAAAAACGGTGCAGCATCTCTCACGCTCGCCCCGACCCAAGCACCGGCTTTTAATTAAAATTTCCATAAATGATCCGGAATAGTATCACAATAAAGAGATGAAATAATAATATACAACCAGTAATTATTGTCACTGGTCATATATGAGTAGCTGTATATATATGCACATGAAAGAACATTGAACCTTTTTTGTTTAGAAAAACAAAGTTCAAGGTAATGAAACGTTTTTCACCCCACATAAATCCTTTATTCAAATAGAAAAAAGATGCTGGTAAATAACGTTCAGCAGGTATTGAAGGTAAACGATCTTTTTCATGCATCCGGCTTTAACTGTTTCACATTTGTTTTACATTGACAATTATCATGTATATTGTACAATCATACATGTTTTGTAAGCAAAATAAATGAAAAGTGGCAATATGTTACTTAATGTGCGAGGATTAGTTAGTGATTTACGTCATTACCCGTGCTGTTATCCTGTAATCCCCTATAGGATTAACTGTACAGGAGATGGTTAAGACAGTTTTTAATGTGACACGAATAAGACCAAAAGGGAATTAATACGATGTAAGTGTTCTATAAGGCGATACAACATAAAAGAATGTTGATAAAGGCCATAAACGGCAAGAAAAATATTCACTCTATTCGACATGTACTAAAACGAGGGATATCTATATAATATCTATACAAATTCGTAGACAATTTAAAGGGACTCCACTGAGGTTTAAAATCCTAAAAAAACATAACATTTAAATTTCTTAAATAAATGAGCTGGGGCACTTTAAACAGAAATATATGCAAAGATAGTTAAGAAATATACTTTTAAATAAATTGAAAATCGTATTTTTATGCTTTTTTTTAAACCCGATTTGAGTGAAAAGCTCTTGCGATCAGAAAATACAAAAACTTCAATGGAGTCCCTTTAATTTAAAAAAAATCTTTTTGTTTGTAAAGATTAACAAATGGCATTATTAATGTTTCAAATGGTTAACATTTTTATCTTAATTTTATCAGATTTATTTCTAATTTAAATGTACGCAAAAAAGCACATATGTGCAAAGATATCTCTCAAGGTAATTTATTATACTATTGAGGTTAAACTTTACTTATCTTTTCTTTGTTGGTGGTTCTATAAACTTGACTGAAGAAAGTTTTACGTGAAGAAATTATGCTGGAAGAATTTGCTCCAGTTGTACTCTTAGAAAAAAATTAGGTCGGAGTAAATGAACCGTAGCACAATGTTTTTAAATAAGCATAAAGCACGAGAGGCCTTGCATGTGTCCTAGTAAAGATACACGATAACACGGCTTTTTAAATTATATGAGAGACAAAAGATTTTTTTCATAGTTATAAAGCGTCCTTTACTTTGATAACGGAATTATTTTGAATTATGTTGAGGTTTTTACAAAAGACAGCCTGGATTTCTTTACAAAATGTACTAACTTAGCAAATCAGTATAAGACATTTTATCTTACTAAAGAACATAGGTATAAATGTATGCACAAATGAAAAACAAAATATTGTGTTGTAGTATTATTTCACATTGAATAAACATAGCATGCGTGTTTTGTCCTCGTTTAAAGAGAAATCAATTTTGTTTCAAAAGAACACATTTAAAGAAACATGTAGATTGAATTATGAATTTATTAACCACAAAGCTGTTTCAAATTAAGATGATTTGTTTTGCTGTTTATTCAATATTTGTAAGCTAGATTTGTTATAAAGCAAACAATGAGCTTTATTTCTGCATAATATGCCTCATTGTAGCTGTCAACTTCATTCAATATATCATATTTTTATAGAAATGTTTTATTAAGTCGATATTGTACTTTTATAACAACAAGAAGTTAATACGTGTTGGTATACAATGTTTGTATAAAATAAACATACTCGTATTGGTAAAAATTTTGTAAAGATACATTTGTAACTTTAATGTTATGGTGATTCTTAAAATCATGTATATATGTGAGATGATGGAACATGAGACTGGATTATTAATTGCATGAAAAACAACGACGAACTTTGTCATAAAATACACATAAGGTACACTATTTAAATGAAATATTAAATTAGTTAATATGTTAATCAAATGTATAACTCATTTTAGTATTTTCATTCTATAGTGTATTGAATTTCTTTGAACAATATTAAATGTTGACAACATTGACACAGCACATACAGGACTGTACCTACGTTGTTGTTTTGTTTTTCTTTGCTACTCAATTGGCATCCATCGAGTATTTCCATGTTCCATTAAATATGATATATTGTATTTGAAGTATTTATTATTTGTTGCTTTCTTTTTACAATTCCATGGTGAGGGTAAATATATTGTAAGAAAAACTGTTCATATTCACTGACATTTTTATACCTGATAGACACAGGTGTTGTGTTTTCTTTTGTTAATAGAATGAATTAAGTTTATTTAAAAATAGTTTTGCTATTTATCTTGAATAGTTTTAATAAAACAGATTAAAAGTTTTTTTAATGCGATGATTTGCAAATACAAATGTATCTTCGCTTTTGAAAAAATACTGTAAATATTATATTTTTTATATATTATATGTTCAAAATATCAGCTTTTATGTAGAAATATAAATAACAGATGAAATTCATTTCCCGTCAAATATTAAACCATCATATGTTGCAAAACACAAATTCTCGCTTCTCCGTCTGTGTCTCCATGATATTTTATTAAATACAATTTACAGACTGTACAAGTTTAAGCTTACTTATACAAGTCATATCAAATAATAATATACAATTTAATATTCAATGCTGTATACATTTTTTTTAACTTTAATGACATTCGTGTCGATATTTCAGTGTTTTATTTCAGGTGAATTTGATTTTTATTCAACATTGAAATGAGCCGTGTCACGACAAAAGCAACATAGTGCGTTTGCGACCAGCATGGATCCAGACCAGCCTGCGCATTCGCGCAGTCTGATCCGGATCCATGCTGTTCGCTTACCAACTCTATTACGAGTAGAGAAACTGATAGTGAACAGCATGGATCCTGATCAGACTGCGCGGATGCGCAGGCTGGTCTGGATCCATGCTGGTCACAAACGTACTATGTTGGTTTTGTCGTGACGCGGCTCAAATATCATAATTTGAAAATGTTATTAAAGACGAATTGTAGAATTACTTATTTTGACACATAGCTTTATCATCATCATATACACTTTCCAATTTACATATCAAACAAATAATGTTCGGAAATAAACTATGAAAATAATGTACATAGACGCATTTAATAAATAAATTCTTTAGACACGTGACTTCTGTTCTACAAATTGCTTTGAGGCTTGTTCCAAGGTATATGCTTTCACAGTCAATGTTTCCATGTATTCTATTATTTATAAAAGAAACCATTTAGTTTATAGCTGTTTAGATTTATTCATTTTTCTTGCTGGCTTTTGTTTGATTTGGAATTTATGAACACGAATTATCATTCAATTCTGCGACCTGGAATATTCAGTAACGCATTAAATGTAAGTATGCTAAAATTACCGTATGATTATCATGTTTTAAAACATGCATAATTAAGCTATTTATACGGTGTGGCAAGTAATATTCATAAAATATTCTCTTCTCAGATACCAGCTGGCATTTCACAAAATGCTGAGTTCAGCAAAAAACAAAAAAAGCATAATTCGACTGATATTATGTCGTGATTTTCAGACAGCAAACTTGCAGTGCAAGTTATAAGTAGGTGAAATGGTAAATTGTAAGTAGAATTTGCATTAATGGTTCTATTCACAGCTGGATCTTTTAATGTGGCAAAAAAAAATTTTATTCGAATTGTTTCTAAATTAGATAGTAGATAAAAGACAAAAAGAAATCTTGAGTTAAATTATTATCTGTACTCTGTCAGTTATTCATTGGCTGTGAAATTGTTATGAAGACGAAAATCATTGTGATATACAACAACATTTATTTGTATGGCATAATATGATTTTATAACCGTGATATAATGACGATAGATAGCTGATATTTTAACAAATACCATGTGACTATTTGTGCCTCAGAACAAAAATCTAATTGACAAAGTAATAATTATACTGGATTTATACTTTATTTTAAGCTAATTTATACACATATATTTACATACATACAAACATTTAACATATAAAAAATGTATACCTTTCTACTTCAGAATTTAAAGATTACGTTCTACTAAACAGAGAAATATTACACTATTTCAATATTTCAGACTGACATGTAAAACTAAGATAACCACTGCCTATCTGTTATGAATATCAAAAAGGAATGGACACTATCTAATGTGGAATAAAGAGGAGCTCAAATTTCACCCAGCAAGACAAATATTAAATGCTATGGTTTTTTGTGTCGCCTCTACGGAGTAATGGCGACATATAGGGATCACTTCTCCGTCGTCTGTCTGTCTGTCCGTCTGTCTGTCTGCCCGTCTGTCTGTCCGTCACAAAACTTGTCCGGACTACTCCTCATAAACTACTGGTGCAATTTCATCCAAACTTTACAGGAATGATCAGTACTAAGTCTAGCTGTGCATATTGTCAGCATTTTCCGGTTCAATGATTTTTGTCAGAGTTATGGCTCTTTAATAATTTTTATTTTTAAAGTTTGTCCGGACTACTTCTCTTATACCACTAGTGCAATTTCAATGAAACTTTACAGGATTGATCTGTAGCTCAAGTCCTTGCGCATATTGCACGGGTTTTCCGGTTGAATGATTTTTGGCCGAGTTATAGCCCTTTGATAAAAAGGTG